CTGTCTGAGTTCAGTATTGTCATCCTTGAACTTGCACTTGATTTAATACGGGATGAGGGAGAATCCACAATGGGTAGTGCATGTGGAATGCTAAAGGAAAAAAATAGCTGTTAAGAATTTGGACAAAGAGTAGGAGAGGAAGAATGCCTGTTTTAAAAAGGGTATTGCTGATGACTTCAGTAATGTAGCTGTTTCACACTTGCTTTGCTGTCATGCAGGGCACTGTCTGTGTGCTGTAAGAAATCACTGTTAAGTTTTCACATGTGTACATTACATAATGTGCGAAGAAGAGTTTGTCCCTCTCTGGGGGCCGTGCCCAGAACGTTGGATGATGGGAGGGAGTGGCGGAGCTGTTAATACTTGCCTTTGGTAGATGCGCTCTTAGAAGCCTCTAAGTGCTGACTTTCTTTGCCTGATTCTGGTATGACTTGCAGAGTTGTATTGCACTGGGAGAGATCAGAGTTAGAAAATATCAGTAGAGCCATCAGGAAACATTTGTGCAGATAGTGTCTGTTGTCTGTGGGGACAAATGAGGTGACTTAGCAGGATATACAGCTGCTCTTACTCTAGCCCTTCTGTTTCCTTAAAATTGAGGAGAGTAAAAGAGGGAGGAGGAAGGGTTGGCAACTGCTATGAGAAGTCACCCATGGGATGGGGGACATTGGTGGAACGTGAGCCCATCATCTTAATGAATTTATGCATCTCTGTTTAGATTTACAGTCTGTTTTGTTACAGTTGTGAAGCAGTTTAGGCTTGTATGATGAAGGACGAAGGCAGAGCTGAAGACACTTGATTCTACCCTTAGTTTATTTTTAACATTTTTGTAAAGCAGAGGAGTTGTGTTTGCCTTAATGAGATTGTATAATAGATTGTTCTGAATGGATATAACTAGCTGTACTCATCACAAGGGAGTAATCAGACATTCAAGAGGTTATGGTATAAGTTGTTTGATCTCGTGTAAATTAGTATCTAATCCTCTGTGTGTATCCCAAAATAACAGTGGGTGATAGTGTCTAATTAGCTATCCCCAGGTGATATCTGATAGACAGGAAATGAAAGTTGTGAAGAGCCCTGTAAAGTGCTTCTCATCCTCTAGCATCTGTCTTTTGAATTGCTGGCCAGTTTATGTTGTTACTCAGCCTTTGGAAGCAGACTTCTTGAGATGTGGACTGAGTCCGTTGCTGCAATGTTAGGTTTGTACGTACCGGATTTTTCTGCTTGTGTTCTGCTCTGTCTGTGCTGCCTGGATTGTGGTTCTGTATTTAAGCCCTTTCAGCGTATTTCTCATGATTCTGCACAGTCTGCCCTGGAACCCCTGTCAACATTTGGGTCAACAACATCCTGCGGCAAGTTGTTTGATTATAATTTGCACAAAGAGCCATCACCTTTTCCTTTGTTTTGAGCCTGGCTTCAGCTAGTGTCTTTTGCCCCTTCTTTCTTATGTTGGGCAAGATGGTGAGCAATCTCTATACAACTTCTCCAAGCCGTTTGTTTTGTAGGCCTTTGTCATGCTTCCCCTCTCTGCTGTAAGTAGCCTCTCTTCCAGACTGAAAAGGCCTTGTTGATGTTATGGAAGGTATTCCATACTTTTTTAAGCTTATCTTTGTCAGAGCTTTTTTTCTACTTTACGTAGAAGGGGGTTTTGGGAGTTGGTTTGGCTTTTTAGAAGGGAAGGGGACTAAGCCTGCAGTCAGTATTTGAAATGCAGGCACACATTAGTTTTGTATACTGACAGTGTTCTGTTTATTTTTCTCACTATTTATTGATCCATATGGAGCACTGAGCAATCAGAATGATCTACACATGTGGACACACCGACGTGGCTTTGCTGTAATCTGTAATTTCTTCTGCTTATTGTACATCACGGTCCTTCTCTAATTCTTCGGTGAGCCTTCATCTTCAGGGTCTGGTATGACTTTGTATTGTTCACAGTCTTGAAGTACTCATCCCTTTTGTGAGGTAATTTGTGAATATATTGAACAGCATAAACTAATGCAGATTTTCTGTAGGATTCCTGTGGTGGCCTCCTTCAGTGTGGGAACTGCTTAGACAGTTTTTTACTGTTTCTTAGCTATTTTTTCCATTCAAAACCCCTCTTGTCATTTGGCTGCTTGGTTTCCTCAAGAGATTTAACTGTGGGACTTCTGGATGCTTTTTGGCATCCCAAGCAGGCTGTATCATTTAGCTGTCCTTTATCTGTGTTTTACTACTTCATACTCTCAAAGAATTCCTTTAATTTTTCAGGGCAGTACTTGCTTTCACAACAGCCAGATTGAATCTTTCCCAATATGTTCTTCGTTTGTGTCCACTAATTGTATTCTTGATTACATTGTTTACTAATTTGCACAACAGAGATGTCAGTCTGAATCTTCCTTGAGGCCATCTTTAAATACAGGCTGTATTTTCCACACGTCATTTCGTTAGGTGCTTTGTCATCTCCAAAGGAGATGTTCTGTACCTTTGTTAACAACTCAGCTATTTCATTACAACTTGTGTGCTCACTGCTGCTTCTGCATTATGAGAGACCCTCGCAAAACAGGTTAACCTATGGAAATCTCTAAACTGTAGGACAGCAAACACAGACGTAAGGATTTTACTTCAATTTCATCAGATGTTCCTTTGTATATGATCATCTGTTGGTCTTTTGGGGTTCTGTTCGCAGTCCTCAAAGAAAGAATTGATCGTTTTGTTGTCTTTTTCTGTTTCAACTGGAAGGCGAGGGGGCACGATATCCTTATGTCAGACTTGTCAAAGTGTGTGATTATCTTCATTTTCCCCTTGGACGTGTTCAGCTTTTTGTAGGGGACTTTTTTCCTTCCAGGATATTCTCTCTCCAGTTCAGATATTTTGAGATACTATCTTAAGCTCTTTGGAGCCTAATATTAAACATTGATGTGCTAATTGAGTTTCCTTGGTGAGACGTTTCTTTCGAGCATTCTGATATTTTACACTTCTATTAAGTAAAAAGCATTCTGGTTTATCAGTGCTCTCTTATATACTGGGGATCAGATTCTTTCTTACTGCTTAGCATGATGGAGGTAGTTTGAGATCGTTTATTAAACAAGCAGGTAAGGAAAGGCCAGTGCTATGCATGAAGAGCTGTAAGCTGTCAGTGTGTCATGGGAGCAGTAGCAAAAATTATTCTTCCAGCACAGATGTTGTGGGTTTTTTTAGCAGCTGATTCTACAGTGTTTAGCTCTGATGGTTGCAGGTTGGCCTCCCTGTTCTTCTGGAGTTTACTGCTTTGCCCTCAGCAACATTCTTAAACAGAGGATGTTAACAAAAAACCGAACAAACACAAAAAAAACCCCAACCAAAACCAAAAAACACACACACAAAAAAAAAACCCACCAAAAAAATCAGTGTTTTTTTCCAAGTCCTCCTAGCTTTTGGTCTGAATATGAGGCTTTTGAGTCCAAGTAGTGGTTTCAACCACTAATAAGCAGATAAGTTGTTTGTTGTTCTTGTGGTTTCTTCTAAACTTTAGGGAAAAAATACCTTTACTATTTATTTATAAGCCTTGTGGCTGGAAACCTCCGAAGCGTGAAGAGCTCACAGGCTGACTGCTATTCTGTCACCATCCCGTAGTACACAAGGAAAGAGTCAAGTTAATCGACTGGTCTTAAGCCAGCCTTGTATCTGGGAAGGTATGGCTCACCAAATGTTAAAGGCCTTGCCCTAAATAATGCTGCCATTTGCAGTGCTTGCTGAAGTAATTTGTCTGAGGGCTCCGTGTACCCATCTTGCAGGGTAAGGGGTTCTGTCAGTAAAGCTTCCTTTTTTGGGAGAGAGATCTGGAATGGCATTCTTCAGCACTGATCATGTTCTAAAGAAAACTGAAGCATATAAAGATTTTTTTTCTCCCACTGTATCTTACAATATGGAATTTAATATGCAGTACTACACCTTGTACTTTGTTTTGAGCCTGCCACCTGCTTGTTTTATTTGATGGCCGTTAGCTACTGCGCTGATAGAGCTTCAGCTAATAAGCTGTTTCCCATCTGGCTTGTTCAGTGTCTTAGATACTGAAGTTCTTAATGTGGGATAAATCTGCTCCACAGAGGAAAAGGGATAGGGCTGTTGGAACTAAAGGTGGAGCTAAGAGATTGAGACACTCGTGTTGAGACCAGAGTTTTGCCATTTAGGGGAGAAACAAAATTGGAGCAGTGGTTGGCTTTTCAAAGTAAGGTAGGCTGTCTGGCTAAGCATTTTGAGAATAGCACTGCATGATGTAGCTTGTGAAGCCAGTCTCCAGCAAGGGCTTTTCTGAATCGCTTGCACAAAAGGCAAAACCGTGTGTACAGCTGTCGCAATCTTGGCTTTGATTCTTGTAGAAATACTTGCATACTTCAAGACAGCACTTGACATTTTCTTACTGATTAACTGTGAAATAAAGATTCTTTTTTAATATGAAAAGGAAGTAAAGTTATATGCTGAGAAGAATGGGTGGGGTGGATTTCATAAGAAATGAAGGGGAGAGCTTTCACTTCCATTTCTTTTGTCCTTTGCTATTTTGATGAAGTTTGCCTTTTTCCTGAAGAACAAGGATTATTTTTATTTTTAGCTGTCTTTCGTCCCTTGGGAACAATTGTGGGACCAATTATTTTTCCCTGGGTGGCAGTTAAAATCCATAGTGGGAGATGTGGAAGAAAGAGCCTTGTAAATGTTCTTACTCTTGTCTGTAGGACACCTCTTGGTGCAGGTGTACTAAGCTGGTCTGAAAATTATCTCTGCCTCTGTTTCTTTGAGGGGCTTGGTTTCAGTCCCTTTTTTAAGAAAACTAAATGTGCATTTTGAAGTGCTCATCAGCGTGTTGCTAAAGATAAGGCCTCCAGGTAACATTTGCTAAAGGATGCTGTCTTGGATTACTTATATGATGAAACAACTTGTGAAGAGTTGAACTGTTTTAACTGGTTTTGGCAGCTGCATTTAAAGGAAGTTGAATGTTTTATGAAATATAACTGAATATCTTTTCTGTGAAAACAGGGATTTGAGAGATTATGGCATCTAAAGCCCACAATGTTAGAAAACAGAAAGTATTGCATATTGAAGGTCGTCCTATTGATCTTCCCAGAAAAAGAATCTCTTCTTCCACCAAAGAGATCATGAAGGAGGTAAGGCTTTTTGAGTGGTTTTTTTCATGACCTCTGATGAAACTGAAGTAAACAGTCAAACAAGCTCATAGTTCTGAGCAATCTAAAACTAGAAGCACAGCACTATTGGGCATTTAATGTTTAGATGTGCAATAGAACTTTGGCTTGAACAGCAATTAAGTTATGAAAATGATGCATTATAATAGGCACAGGCAGCACCTGCACAGATACATGCATCATGTTGTCCATGTGAGCAGTAGGTACTGATAGGGATTTACTCACATGTGGTTTTCTGCAGTTCCGCGAAGAGCAGTTTCAGTTTTCTATCATCAAAAAGCTCTCTTGGCAAGAGGCACAGGTAATGGCACAAGTGAGAGGTGGGGTAGGTGAAATACCTGCACTGAAATGCATCTGTCATCTTATTATCGTACAGCTTGATCTACCACACTGTCTTGATCTGCCACATTGCACAATGTGAATGTTACCAGTAGTATAAGTTTTCAAGTTGAAATGCCTGCAGTATACAAGCATGTGCCTGTTTATATGAAACTGCGTATTTCTAACTTGAGCATCTTAGTGCTTTTTTATTTTTAATAATTTGATTAATATTGAAACAAAAAGTAGATGAGTGTCACAATTCAACTCATCCTCATTACATGAAGCTTTGAAAATTACTGTATAAAAAAAGTCTTTAGAAATTCATCTTCAAATTGTGTTGCTTGATTTTCAACGGTTTTGCTAAACTCTGTGGCACGACCTCAAATATATTTTGTGATTTCTCTGGAATATCACTGTTCTATGCAGCCTAATTGGTGCTAATCTGTTCCATATGAATGAATTCAGGATAATCAAGCTGGTGTTGTCTTACAGCCATCTTGGGTCTTTTGGTGGCTTTTTTGTCACGCTTTGGTGGGGAGATGCTCTGCTGTCATCCTTCCCAGTGCTAACGTGCTGTACTTCAGGCCCTTAACTGTATGTGAGAGACAAGGAATGCAGTTTTGCCCTCAGATTCCAGTAGGCTTTTTATATTAGTCGTGGTTTTGGTTTGGTGGTAACTGAGAAATCTGTGATGTCATAACCCTGCCTCTTGCCAAGGATACCCCAACCTTGCAGGTAACTGTGGTGCTTCAAGGACGGCTGTGGCAGGTCACTGTGAAATACTTGAAGAGTAGAGGAAGGTTAAGGTGGCTGTGCTTCAGTTGCAGAATAGGAAGAGTGGGTGGAAGGGAGGGTATCTGTGCTAAATTTAGGCCATGGTAAAGCAGGACTTCTTTTCAACAAACTGTGGGAGTGATTTGAGCCTTTCTGGTAATAAAGCTTTTTTTTATTCTCCATTCCCTCTCTCCTAGGGTAAGAAATCTCCAAAACAGCTGGCTTTGTACACAAACAGGTAGGAGGGCCTCTGATGAAACTGTGTAGTTTGAGTTTCAGGTGAGGGGGAGGCAGGGAGGAAGAAGCAGTTTAAATGTGGTAAATGGAATCTTGATTTTACTGAGAGTGCTTGGTGCTTGTGTCCACTTCCATAGTAATGAGTCTCTGCATTAATAAAAGCAGGAGAAAAATATTGGTGGTGGCTCTTACTTCTGGTAACCCAAATGTCATGGTGGTGTATTTTGGGAATAAAATGTTTTAATTAACCTTCAAGTTGACTGCTGAATTCATAGTGATATATTTTAACTTAATAACACAAAGTATTGCTTAGGTCTAGAGCGACCTTCACTAAAATACTGCTTTGTTATTGCAGAATAACAGTTGGAAAAACAGTGACCAGTCCCCCCTCTCCTTTCAAAGTAGTATATTGTAAAAAACAAGGTCGTTGTTGTAGTCCAAAGCCTTCTTACAGAAAGAAACAGTTCCCTAAATCTAGGGACTGGGACATGGCAAATAAAGAAAATGAACTGGCTTGCGCAGGGAATCTGCCAGCAAAACTGCACGACAGTCGTACACATCTGCTGAATTCTAGTGACTCTGGATCATCTCAGACAGAAGGCCCCTCATCCAAATATAGTGGATTTTTTTCAGAGGTAAGTGGAGTTTAAACAAACTTTAGTTTAAAATAAAAGTGTTCCTGTTGTGTGGTTAGCTGTGGAAGTTTTCAAAGGGAATTTTCTTAACGCACAGATTGGCTCAGCTCTTGTGATTTACAGCCCTTATTGGTCAGTTCACAGTAGGAGTAGTCCTGCCAGTTTTCCCTATGTTTGTGTTGATACAGAAGCTCAGATCTGCCAGGCTCGTCTGGGGTAGAACAGTACCAGCACCACAGGAAAACATTGTTCTGACCTGGTTGGGGTTCATGATCTGGCATGGCACATGACCACATGTCTGTGGAAGTGTGACGGTGTCAGTGTATGGATGGGGAAAAGCTGGTGAGGTAGGATAGGACCATGTGCAACAGTAGTGTCAGCTTATTGTATATGAAACTAGTGTAAGTGTTTGTATAAGGCTGTATTTCTTAAGGTTGCTTGATGAAACCCAGTGAAAATGCTTGCAGGGCTTCTGAAAGTGGCTTAAATGTCAGATAGTTAAATTAATTTTTGTTAAGGTTTTGTCACAGTGAAGGCCATTTAAGTCCCTTAATGCTGAAGTTTCCATTTCTGTCACTATAGATGTTTGTTACCTGTTGAGGCCTGCAGGTGTTTCAAGTGAGGCAGGGCAGGGAAGATAAGATTGAAGACTATCACCATGCTGTCTTTTCATGGCGCTCTACATGTGGGCTGCCACGAAGAGTGAGCCCTGAGTGCGGTGGGGCTGGAGGTACAAGTCTGTGGCACTCTTGCACTTCACTGAATTTGGTGGTTTCTGGGACGAAGCAGCAGAATAGCTAGAACAGAGGTTGTGGAAAGAAGGTAAAGAAACAAAAGCCAGGAAAGATTCATCCTCTGAGAAGCCAAAAGCTGTTTAACTGGCTTGAGAGATGTCGGTGGCTCTGCAGTGTTCACAGCAATCCAAGATCTATTTTAATAAAATACCTGAACTTCAGTCAGAGAACAGCCTTTTTCAGAAGTTGATCTTTTGTGTCAGAGTTCAGAATACATGTAGTTACTTGTGTCTAAGTTGTGTCAGAATTGTAAGTATCTAAAGTTCTCAAAGTTGGTGAGAAATACAGGTTGATGCTTATGAATGTTCTATTTAATTATTAGATACCTCTCTTCAGGTGTCTACAGACCTCATTGTAGCTCTTGGGTAAAGTAGTCTTAATCTATTTTTGCCTGCTTCTGAGGGAAAATTTTGGGGTTTTTTAAGGCCATTGATAGCTAAATTTCTAAAACAAACTCATCAGCATACAGGTAGGAATGCTTATTTACATACTTACTGTTTCGTTGCTGGCTACTTATTGTAGTAATCTTTTATATCTTCAAAAATATCCAGGTTTCTCAGGACCATGAAACTATGGCTCAAGTTCTTTTCAGCAAAAGAATCTGAAGCTGAATGTAGCTTTAACCTTTTGGAGAAGGAGAAGTATAAGTGAACTGGTAGCCTACTTAGTGAGGTAAACTGAGTATCTCTTCCTTTATATTCTTAAAGTGGTAGCAATCCTAAATAGCCTGTAGTAATTTTAGGGATTCCTTAAATGTTGTAACTTTGTTACAGTTAGTTATACTTTAAATCACAGTGAAATCATATCCTTCAACCTGTGCTCTGTTAGTAACACTTCTGATTTTATTCTCAATGTTTCCAGGATACAGGATCTGGGAGTAGTAGTAGACTGCCTTCCTGTGCTTACAAACAGGTACAAATCAAAAGAAGTGGGGGATAATAATCTGCTGTAACCACACTGGAGTTCAAGCACTTTTGAAACGTCTTGTTTTTTAAGCTTACAGGAAGAAAAACCATATATTTCAGTTGGCTGCTGTGTAGATCTCTTGCCTCTAGTGAAATCATTGCTTAAAAGCAAATATGAAGAGTAAGTGTCAGTTTCAAATGTTTTTCAAAACACTATTACTGTGGTGCCCTAGAATTTAAATATATTTGGTCCTCTGGCTCTTGTTCCCTCTGCCCTTTCTCCCAGTCCTGCCTTTCTCAGGGATCACCCACCTGAAGAGGAGCTTTCCTGTGAACCTTTCTCCTTTCACAAACCGGTAGTGCAGAAACTCTTCTGCCAGTTTAGGACTGGGATGGGGGGGGGGCCTTGCCATTATGTAGATTTATTTATTTTGAACAGTAAAACAGAATAGCACCAAGGGTTTAAGATGCTTTATAACATGAAATCAAGGCCAAGTTTTCAGGCAAAATACTCAAATTTCTACTTTTTCAGCAAGAGCTTTAGTTTACCACTTAATTGAAAGCATAGGCAAATATTTACAATTGGGAATTTGACTATTTTTTTTTTCAGAATAGAATAGACAACAAGTTGCTTTCTAAGTTGTTTACCAGTTTGTCTTGACACTTTAGCTGACCTGTAGATATTGGAGAGAGGAGGAAGTGTAATGCGTAAAATGTATTGTTACAGATACGTGATAGTTGGTTTAAACTGGCTTCAGGCTGTCATTAAAAGATGGTGGTCAGAACTATCTGCACATACAGAAAAGGCAGAGGATAGGTAAGTACACTATTGGGAAATGTTTAACTATGTTTCTGTAGCTTATTCCATCTCAATCTGTTTTAACTTTGATCAGTAGGAGCACACCTTATCTATAAAAAAAAAAATAATTTATAATTTGCAAGTAAAAGCTTAAAAATAGTTAAATGTCTTCTGTTCCTCAGGCACTGGTGGTGTTTGGAAACTTCCGTTAAAGGTTTTCATGATTGTGGTTTGTTGTGGGCTTCTTTTGTTTTGGGGTTTTGTTGTTACTGCAGTTCCAGTACATGTAAAGCACAGTCATGGCAGGCATTGCACTAATGCTGTAGAAGAGAACTTTTCTGATGCTGTGGCAATATCTGTCGTAGTTTAATCATGTGTATCAAAGTCTACTGAAATGTAGGATATATGTTGTAACATGGTGGTCATTCTTTTCCAGAAATATTCATATTCTAAAACAACAATTAAGTGGATTATGGGAACAGGAGAATCACCTTACTCTCGTTCCAGGATATACTGGTAATATAGCTAAGGTAACCCAGTTCCAGTTGTTTAGTAATGAACATAGCTGTATCACTTGCACTGTTCCCCTCATTTGATGTTATTTATGCTAAACTGATGGATAGAAACACCTTTACTCTGTTTCTGCAGTAATGCTCAAGTATTTTGCACGCTTTCTACAGAAATCTGGGGTAGATTTCCTATGCTAGTAGCAGAGTGGTTTAAAAAATTATGAGTTTGTGGAGGGCAGAAGGGTGTCTCCATCTGAAGTGAATGCCTGTTTGCCTTTCTTGGTACATTGTGGTATCAATAATATAACGAAGGTGTCTGGTAAATGCATTATTTGCTTCTCGTGATACTCATCTCTGTAGATATGGCTTTCTAAGGTGGGCACCAATATTTACATTGAGTAAGAAACCTCTCCACTTGGAGGGACCTGAATGAAGATAGACAATAAGAGAGGGCTTAAAGCAGACAATTGGTTATGTGCAGGAATTGAGTGAACTTGAAAATAACTTTGAGAATTCATGTTTTCCTTGTCTGAAGGAGCTTTGTGGAGTCGGATTCTATGGCTAGAGAATTTGTCACTTCGATCTATCAAACAAGTTTTCTTGTTCTTCTGTGCACCTGATTTAAATTTTGAAGTCTCTACAAGGATAACTACAAACTTACTGCAGAGATTCAGTCAGCAAGGATACAGAAGAACTGAGTTGTAACTCGCAGCTGGTAGAGCTTGTGATACAGACAGCCTAGTTCTGGTAGATCAGCATGGTAGTTATAGCCAGGGTCAGTTTGTTTGTCTAGGATTCATGTTCCCTTTCTGTTCACTTGCCTAATTCTTAATGTGTATCAGGATAGGTTGTGACCAAGGTCATCTGAACAAGTCAGGAGCAAAAGGAGTAGAACAAGAATTTTGGAGTGGGTGGAGTGAAGGAATGTCACTCTTAATAAGCATGTTTCAAATAAATCATCTAATGAGGATGATTTTCTTTACTGTGCATGCAGGGAGCAGAGCGAAAAACCACTACATTGATGGCTTTGGAAACTAATCCCACTGTTCATGCTAGAAATAGCACTGAAAGTATTAATTGACAGTAACCTGGAAGTTTTGGCCTAAACATAAGTATTGTATTATGATCTTGGTTGGTTATGCTGCCTCAGACATACAAGTTGATGTTACAGCTGTAAGTAATGTGACATTTTCTCCTTTTTCTTTCCCTCCTAGGATGTAAACGCTTATTTATTCCAGCTACACTGACATGATTGGGAAACTGTGTGCTTCTGTGGTGAAACAATCCCCTAAAGTAGCCCTGAGATGCGTTCTATTTCTGAAAGCCTTTTGAGAAACACTGGCAGAAGAGAACTGAACTGCCAAGCTGATAATGAAACCACTAACGAAATCCTAACAATCTACTTCATATTGAAGTGGAAAAATCTCTAGTAGGAGCAACTTTTACTTCAGTGAGGTGAAAGTGCACTATGAAAACTGTATGCCTTTGCTGCATTTGGGATTCACTCAGTTACTAGGTCTTCATTTAAATGCTACTGTATTTTACTACAACACTGCATAAGAGAAGAAGAATTCTACTGCCATGAAGACAAGACAGCAGAACCAGTTATAAAGAACCAACAAAAGCAATCACCATTAAGAGCTTTTAAATGCTTCTTTCACAAGAGAACTCCAAAATGCACAGCTATCTTCCAGTTACGTTAAAGAACAACTCTGGACTATTCAGTTACTTCTGTGTTTTAATGAAATTATTAAAGACAGTTTTTGTTTGCACTATTGAGAAACTCTACAGCAAAGATGCCTTAATTACTAGTGTTTCAAAAAGCCAATGCGTTAAGATGCAAATAGCTATTGTGTTCTGATGGTGAGGAAAAACTACAGAAATCAGGGTTTCACGTTGTGTAGTTAATGAAACATTGCACATATACAAAAATTCATGTACGACAAATATTATAAATACCTGATGTTAAGCTTGGATAAACAATTATTGCGAATGTCAGCAGAATGGTGAATTTATGTCTAACAAATGTTTTTATATTGTATGTGGATTTCTAACACAGTAATCTTGTTCTGTATCATTTAAACTACATGCAAATAAGTAAATATATTAAATGTATCCACTGTTTATTTTCTTTCCAAGTTCATAAAAGCAATTTCTAGAATAATCTCTTCCACAGTACTTTTTATTATAGATATTTATGTCTCTTGTTTGAAATGTTTACAGGCAGATGAGGCCGTGTTCTTCAAATCGCACCCTTCTTATACTACCTCCTTCAAGAGACTGACAAAGAGCTCTGGCAAAACTAACCAAGTTCAGGTCTGATCGATGGTGGCAAACTCATAGCAACAGCATTGAAAATACAGCTGCAGACTTTCATTGTCCTGTTGCTATCCTGTACTATTTAAATTTAAAAGCTATAGCTTAATAGCTCTGAGGGAGTTTTGATTTTAGGCTTGCTGTTGCCTTTTTTATTTTGTGTTTAGGAAGCATGCTTTTCCAATTAAAACTTAGGAAGTGCCTGCTGTTTACTGAAAGCATAAATATCCATGCAGTGTGTATCGCTGAATAGTCACTTCCTTAACAAAACCAAGTACTTGTAAGGGTTGTTTTAATACCTAGCATTAAGCATATGCACTTTTGTTGACATGCAGGAAAACAGCCTTTTGATGGCCCCAAGGGGTTTTTGCTTTGCAGGTGAAATATATGAATTTTAAACTCAGTGGTCAGCAGCTTTAGGCCTCCTGTTGCTCCATTTTGCATTTACTTTACATATTATTATTATTATTGCTGGCTGCTGAAGGACAACTAGAAATCTGTCATTAGGACTCGGTGCCGGTGCTTTTGGTTATTTGAATATTCTTTAAACCACCAAAGGTTTTGAGCTTCCCAGGGCAATCAGCTACAGGGAAGAGTTTCTGGGGCATCCCAAAACGGAGAACTCTGTAGGACAATCTTGAGATATGCACATAGCCAAATTCTTTTTTGCTAGAATTGTTACGTTCTGAGATTCTTCACACTCGAGAGAGTTTGCGTTAGAACTTACTACTTCTTAAATGTTCTTGCTGTTAATTAAAAATTTAAATGAACTATGGTGTCATAATGTTCTTTTATTACTTTACTGTTCTGTTGAGGACTTAAAATGTAAAAGTAACATAAAGACTAGCGTCAATTTGGGTAGCAAGTGCTGAAACCCTTAGATTATTCCTCTAGGAGGATACTATAGAGGTGATGGAAAGTCAGATCTCATTTTCTCCTGTTGTTTTTTTAATAGATGAAGTAACTCATGGCCATTTATTTCTGATTGTACAAGAACTAATCGTTGTAGTTGATTAATGTGAAATAACATACTCAAAAATCCAGCTTGACTGTAGATGTAAATACATGGGCTTGTAATGAATTCTGCATGTGGCCATGGATTTACCAAATTGTAACTGTGGATGGTGCTTTTCTTCTAGTGGCAAGGTAAGATTGGCTGGAGGATCATTATTGAGATATATCTGATAAAGTAATGCGTTATTAACTGCCAAAAAATTTATTTTGGCAGCATCAATAATACAGTATTAAACGTTAAGTCATTAGTATCTGTGCCTTATTTTAAATGAATTTTTTTACTGGCAGCTACTAGACTGTAAGAACAAGATTTTGGTCTCTCAGTTATGAAATGATTTTTGTCTCATTTAAACTGCTCACACAGACTTTCAGGCTCAGCTTGTTGTATGCTCATTAGTCCTCAAATGGCTCGGATTCAGTTTTGCTGTAATAGAATGTGTGTGTGATACCTGCTCAAAGGTGACGTGACTGAAATGTCTTCATAGCTGTGTAACTCCATGACATCTGTGTCATTGTCTCACTGAATCTAAGAATTAACTTTATGAACAATCGTGTGCATAAATGCTGATCTTTGATGCTCTGTGAAAATGCTGTTTCTAGGATGTGTCAAAAGGGTCGGGCAGACTTAATCCTTTATCTTGTGTGTTCCTGTGATGCTGAAGCATGTATGTACTTGAGGATGAAGGATGCCTCTGCAAAGCTGCTGTTCATGTTGTGCCACTTGATAAGACATTAATGTCTTTGAAAAATAATGCAAAATATCTTTTGCCTCAACTTTCCCTGAGAGTACTTGAGGCTGTTTTGCTGGAAAGGTTTTTATTTGAAGCATGAACTAGGACTTACCCATCCCCTAAGCTGAAACTAAAGAAGCCTTCTGGCAAACTGCCTCTTTCTGCAGAGCTGACCCCCCCAGGTGTTCTGTTCATGTAAGAACCAATGTTTAGATGTTGCTGATAGATTGCTGGAGAGTGGAGACTCATTAGTTAGCTGGGTGCAAGAAGCTGGTGTGTAATAGTGGTTATGTATAGCTCTGTTTTGAAGGAGTTACACCTGTTTGTTAGTAAAAAGTACTGTGCAGTGCAACACCCTTGTGTCACACGGGTGCTGCAGTTCCAGGCTACTTCAGAGAGCTTACAAATTTATTGGTATTTAAAAAATTAGCATCAGGCCTCCAGGAGCTGATCTTCTGCAGTGAGGTGATTAAAACGATCTTTCCTCTTCTGTAGGCTGCCTTTATTGTTATCAGAGGGTGCAGTTTTAACACTTGGGGAGAATGGAAAAGGACCAAAACAAAAGTGCTCATGCACTCTGTTGAGTGACACCAGCCCCACTGCATTATACCATATGGATCTTGAAGCAGGCTGTATCTTTATTTTCTGATATCTCAAGTAAGCAAGCTTGGAGTTACGGGTCTTTATGCATTTTGTATTGAAGAGTTAAAAGTTTCAACGACAGATGCTGCAGTAGCTGTGTTATTTTGGGTTTATTTCTTGAAAGGGTGGATACTTTGTGTAGAAACTCAAAATGATCTTGTGCGAAGCTTACATTTTGAAACTAGCGAGTGGTTGCTTTTGCTGGTTCATCTCGCCAGATCTTCCAGAAGACTGAATGTCTGTCGTCGTGTGGAGATTTGCAGCTTACTTTGTGCCCAGTTTCTGGTACAAAGGGAAACAGGTGGCTCATAGACAACTCCTTCAGAATACAAAGCCATGCAAATTGTGCTGCTGGTGTGAAGTTATTCCAGCTTCTGTGCAATGCAAATTCTTTAGTTTATGAAAGCAGTTGGCTCTTGGCTGAGGAACTTTATTGAGCTGATCCTGCATGAGAGGAGGAAAAAACGAAGCAGCTTTTAATAGCCTTGGTAAAAGCCAGACAGTGTAGTTTAATTTTGTCTTCAGTCTGTCTTCCTACACACAGTAATCACTGTAGGTTACAGATAGAGATTCACTGAGAGAACAGATTGAGCATGCTCATGTTCTTAGTGCTTATCGTATACTTCCTTAAACGATTTATTTTCATTCCATTAGTTAAATGGCTTGTTTGCTGTCCTAGAACAAGTCTAAATGCAAGGGGTTTTTTCTGCCACCCCACCTCTTCCCTCCCCCCCACCGGCATTCATTCTCTAGCACTTAATTATGGTATTTCTTCCTCTTCTAGTTTAAATATTCTGAGAGTATCTCTTGTTAGAAGCGGAGAAGAGAGGACGAAAATTCTACATAACACACAGGCTATTTAACACTATTCATTTTGAAGCAATTGTGAAAACTTTCCCTCTTAAACTCTTCACGCAAATATTGTTAATACCTGCTAATTGAGGTGGGCACTCATGGCTTCAGGTTTGTGTTTGAACTTGGTTGGAAAAAGAAAAATAAAGTGTTTTCACTCTAAACAACTCTAGCTGCAGTTTTGTTGTGGTTGTTTGGGGTTTAGGTTTTTTTTTTCCCCATGAAGTACTGATGCTGACCTGCTGTATGGGAGGCAGAATGTGTAGCGCTGTCCCTTAATGGGATAGGATAGAAATAATCACGCAGGCTTCAACTGTTGCAGACCTGGAGTGCTTTTGTTTCCATGCTGACTGGAATTTTGTCATGTATAGAACCACAAAATGGTTCAGGTGGGAAGGGACCTTAAAGCTCCTCCAGTCCAACCCCCATGGGCAGGGACACCTCCACCAGCCCAGGTTACCTAAAGCCCTGTCCAGCCTGGCCTTGAGCACTTCCAGGGCAGGGGCATCCACAACTTCCCTGGGCAACCTGTGCCAGTGTCTCACCACCCTCACAGTGAAGAATTTCTTCCTAATATCCAGTCTAAATCTGCCCTCCTCCAGTTTAAAGCCATTTCCCTCATTCTGTTACTACCTGCCCTGGTAAAAAGTCCCTCCCCAGCTTTCCTGTAGGACCCCTTCAGGAACTGGAAGGCTGCAATAAGGTCCCCCAGGAGCCTTCTCTTCTCCAGGCTGTGTCTGTCTATGTAGGTTGGAGCTGCTGATCAAACTGCTATTAAATGAGATCTACCTGCAGGTCTAATGTGGTCCGTAGTTATTTCCAATTCTTGCAGACTGGTGCTTCAATTCAGTCAGTGCTTGGAGCACTATCGTGTAGATGAACAACTGACTGCTGGGGTCTCCAACATCTGTGATTTGCTGCAACAAAATACAAGGATACCATGTTCACGTTTTCCACCTTTCCCCCCCCATTCCTTAATTTCAGTGCTTAAAGCCATTTGTATTCCCTTGAAAGCAATAGCTGCTAAAACACACGTGATAAAAATGCTTTTACAAATACGCTTGTGACTTGTTTTAATGCACTTTTATGGATAATAGTGTTCTGTGAATTTGGGAAGAAGGTTGTTTTCTGTATGCATAGGCTTGAAAGAAATAAACTGGTGGATTTTACTGAGATTGCAACCAATT